GGGGGGGGAAAAAAAGTTCTTTAATGAGGTGTGAGGTTTCACAATACTTTTGGATTACTATTAATAACTGCACTGTGTCCATCCAGCACAAAAGGCAGAGTAAATTATATGGGCATGTCCAGCAGAGTGTGCTTTAAGCATTAGACTACGGGGGACAATGAACACCATTTAACCTTCAGATTATTTATTTTGATAGGTATTCCATTCACTACCAGCGACTATAAGCGAGCAACAGGCGAACAATGTGAAGTGCACATGCAAACAAACAAATATTAAAGTTCATACTCGAAGTGTGGAAAACCAAGAGGTGGTGCTTGCTTTTGTTGAAAGAAAATACATTCAGACACTGAATTGCAAATATAAATCTAAAAAAATTACTGTGGTGTCGGAGTTAAGGTTTAAACCTGAACTGGAATACCTCTCTGGTATTCACACTTGAAGAATTATATGAATTAGGAATATGTGAATCAATACTGAAATATCGATTCTTTTGATCTGAATGTTTTAATTTTAAGAATTGATTCTAAAGTTACAATATCGATTATCAAGTAATTTAAACATTTACATGCTGGGCAGGGTTATCCATTCTTATCAACTATTATTCTACCTTTGAACTTTGAATGGACACAATGCAAGGATTAACATGTAGAAAAATACATAATCTAAAAAATTAAATGGCATGCATTGTTTTCCATCAACTATACTAGAGTAAAAGCTTTGCAAGATCTCAGAAAACAACTATTGTTTATCTCCTCCCAGGTCCTCTTAAAGGGCTCATAAGAAATGTGTACAAAAATACAAGACGTCATGTTTTTTGGGATCTGCATTATTTCTCAGTATGGGACAGCATGCAAACTGCAATAGACAACATTCAAAATGAATGAACAGCCTAGTCTAATTTATCTAAAAACTGTCAGTGGTGCTAAATTTTTTAATCTAAAGTTTTGGTTATAGCCTACGAAGTCCACTCCCTCCCCGTAATTGAAAGGAGCTGCAAATAAGGGATTTGTAGCTAGGCTATGAAGGCTGTCAGCAATTTCCTTATCTTTAAAAGGAATTAACATTGGTAAGTGCTTGACCATCCACATAAGTTGGGAAGCTCAATATCCCAACCGTGAAGTTCCGCTTGAACAGCTGACTTCCTGGTTGCTGAGTAGAAGTTGGTAATGTGACATTGAACTTCCGTCTTACAAAAACAGCCAACACATTACTGCAATGGGCAAAGCTTGTGAAACACTGCACTATAATAGTCTTTTTAACATTGAATCGAAAAAGTAGGCTAGAAGGGTGGATTGAAAGCCAAATCTCAAATTCTTGAGTTACATTGCTTTGTGTGAAGCCTAAGCCTACATCCCCGATAAAGATGATAATTAGTTATTGTCAGGTACTAAAACTGGGATACTTGTCTCATATCGTTGATTACCGATATCGTCATCATCCTATCGCCCAGCACTAGTTATATTAGTGTATTCCATGATATTTTTAATTCTCATCTACATTCCCTAGCAGATTCCCTATCCTGCTTTTCACTCAGAAGCACAAGAAGCATTTAAAACAAAAAGAGCAAAAGCTCAGCATAAAGATAAGGCAGCACCATTATGAAAAACTATGCTTCTTGCTTTCAGTCTTCCACAGTATAATACACTGTGCAATATGTTAATGCTCACAAAACATATGACCAGGCAAACCAGAACAAACTTAAGGGAACATACCTGTACATGGAGAAATAGATTACAGAATCAGCTTTACACCTAATATTCAGAAATGTTACTGAATGCAAATGCTTGCTGCACCAGGACTTCTTACGCAAAACAGTGCAATTGATATAGTGAGGATTGAAGCAAATAGACCTCCAGACCCTAATCTACTGCACTAGGCTATGGCACTTCCTGACAGTGCTCTTAACACTCATAAGAAATATTCACAACCCATCTGTCTGCCACTTCTCTCTTCACACTAGGACATGAAGCTAGGCCACAGCCAAATAGCTGTTAAAAGCTTCAGAAACACTCAACACAGCACAAACACCTCAAGTCTACAGCAAGTTTTTATGCCACCAAAACTCCAAAACAGCTTAAAACCAAAATAAAAAACATTATGGCATCTATATACACGCCATCGTATCAATACATTACATTAAATGTCAAGTTCAAAATTCTCAGTTTTTCCATCACTAAACAATACAGATGGGAAGCATAACCTCATTTCCTTCTTTGGGCAGCTTTCACAGCACAATACAATCAAGCTTATTCACAAGGCTCTCTCTTGAGGCACTGAGCACAAATTGCATACAAGGCTCGGGACCATCCCTGCTTGTAACGGTGATGTCACACACCATGAACATACTGCCAGAGCTCTCATTTGTGCAGGGTGGGACATAGCTGTTCAGATTACAGCACAGATGATTGGGGTTCTTAGAGCTGGCAGCTGATGATTCTAGCAAGCACAGGGCTTAGGCTGATCACAAGAGCTAAAAGAGCTTGCAAAAGTATTCTCCGGAGTTGGCCGAAGTACTTCTGCATACACAGATTTATAGGATATTTCACAGACAGAAACATTGGAGAAGGTTTTTTAGACAGGAAAGTTAACTGGAGATGAACTTAATAAAGATCTTCACATGACACTGTACTGCGGGATTCCTTAAGTCCATCAGGCTGCTACAGCCTCACACCACCATTTAAACCAGGGCAACCCACAAATCCATATTCACATCTTCATTCAGCAGACAGAAATGCATGCATACACCTAGATATTTTAAAAATACCAGAAACAAAGATCAAGCAGATTAAAATAAGATTTTGTGCAGACAGACAGACTTAAGTCAAGTCATTCTTCAAGTTGTACAGTAATACAAACTGTGAGCTGTGAATTTATATTGGTTTATTTTTAAACACAGTCCAATTTACGATGCTGTCCATGGACAGCTCTGGTGTGGAAACAACCACCTGCGAAAGGCCACAAAACGGGCAGCGTTCGCTTCCCATTACAGAGTCAGCAGCGGCAGCTGAAGCAGCCTGTCACCTGCCCTGCAGGTCTGAGGCTCTTCCTTCCTGCTGGCGCGAGAGCTAGAGAAAAACAAGATCCTCCCCCCCCCTTCCTGTATGTTGCACCCCAGCTGCTCAGAGCAAGACAGCTGCAGGGACGAAGCGAGGCCATAGAAGAAAGCCAGAACCCCTAACTCCAGACTAGCCTCTGCTTTGTGCTTGTGCTGGAGGGAGGATAATAGGGAAGCATTTGTATGCTACTGATCTAAATTAGTCCCAAATGCCCTTGCTCCTCATTCCATGAATCGATCACTAACGGTTTCAGTGGCTTGCTGACCTATTACTGTGCTGCATTTTGAACCTCACATAACGGCAGTGATCCGGAACTACTGAAGACCGATATATTGTTAAGCAGTACCTATTTATATAGCTTCTACACTTGAATATATAACGTTAAAAATATTACAATACAAATAACAGTGCTACTTCTGGTACTACCCCTTCCTGGACTGCAAAGTGTTGCATGCACAAAGATAAAACTACTCTGAGGATTAACATGACCTGCCAACATTACAGGAGTGCCATTGTTTCTCTCCCTGGATTGTCCCCATCAAGACACTCATCTTCAGTTCTTTTGTTGTTGTTGTTGTTGTTGTTGTTTTAGCCCTGAATCAGGTCATCTTCAGCTTTTTCAGACACATACAGGCCAGATAGGGCACAGAGCATGGTTTGAACTCACTGCTATTACATTCTGTGCATCACCTGTGACATGACACCACACTGGTACAGCCAGTCTTTCTTGTCTTCATTTCAGTTCCCTTTTTCATTTATAGTTCACACACCACTATGAACCACTGTGCAAGCTTGGTACATCACCAGCGCTGCAAGAAAATTGTGCATAAGGAGACCACAGGAAGAAACTGGTCCAATACCATTGTCTGTCAAACTCTGGGAGGCCACACCACACTTCCAGCAGAAAAAGTGGATCTAAAGCCAAAACAATAGAGAATCCCAGCTCGCCATCCTGTTATTTTTCCTTTGTGTCAACAAAGATCACAGCCTCATTTTAGAACCCAGATATATATGGAACAGGGGGCCACGCTCACATGCACAAGCCCAACCACTTATTTTAATATATACCAAAATTCATGCGTGACAGCTAATTTTAATCTACAGAAACCGTTTCCGGCACGTCGATTTTACGATTTACAGTAACATGAAGCTCTCTAAATATTCGCCCTCAGGGGGAATCGGCAGTGGGGACCGGCACAGCAATTCTACTGTTCGTAGACAGCCACAGCATTATGGGAAATTCACGCAAGCTCCTGTATGTTTCTTTATTCCCTTTTATCTTCTGGTAGTCTATTTGCATTAAGCTACACTAGCAACAGTAGCTCCGTTACGCTGCGTCGTGTCTTCAAACGGGCCGAAAAGTCGCGTCAGCTACACAATTCTGATGTGTCCGCGGGGAACATAAAATCTGACAGGTGCACTCTGCTTTCGGTGCTTCAGGAGCCAAAAGCAAGCGCCTGGTGGATTCTTTTACAAAGATATAAAAAATAAGTGTCAGTTATAATATAATGAGGGCTTCATATTTCCCACTGCTGACCACTGCATTGCTTACTTCCCCTTTTAAACCGCCGTCTAGAGTATCCGTTTTCACAATCTTAACTATTATTTTATTATGTATTTAGTATCACAACATGCAGGTAAAAAACGCAACTGACATTTACACCACGAAAATAATAATACAAAAACTTCGCGCGAAGAGCTGACAGAACTTGATAAGATCGCCTCCTGACCACAGTCGACCCGGGCACCAAGGCGTCATGACATACAAGAAATAACGTTTCTGCTCCGTTAAAGTAGTAATTGTTTAATTCGACTGAACTGCATGCGAACATTTATGATGCCAATTCTGAGACTAACTAACAGTAATAGCATAATTAGCATGCGGTGGCATGTAGCGCCCACCTCGCACAGCTGACGGCTGCTCGACAGCCGTGCGCCGCTGGGGTCGCCGGTGCCCCCCACGGAAACGTTCCCGGAGGGCCGAGCCTTAGGGGTCCCAGGAAGCTTAGCCGCCAAAGCGGTCCTTTTAGCGTGCAGTCGGCAAGTCGCCACTTACCCGGACCGCTGCAGTCGGCGCAGACCTCGCTGTTCCGGACCCGTTTCGACATCCTTCCCCCCGCCCCCTAAAAAAGGCCTTTAAAGGTTTTTTCCTTAAGAAAAACAAACTTGCCTTATTTATGCAGTCATATGATAGCTACGGCATGTGGGAACATATCCCGATTTAAGTCCAGCGTGCAACGCGTAAATTATACTAGTTAGCAACAGATAGTTTTATATATTTTTCCACCCGCTCTTTTTGTATTGTACTGCACGAGCAGAAAGCCAACAGCTGCGACAAGACGGAAACTCCAACCGACGACAACTGCTGCGGAGACCTAGTTCATCCCGGAAAGGAAATTACGGAATATACGTAACGTAAAGTGTAGACCACAGCCGGAAGCTGCGCTAAATCTCTACGATGCCTTTGATAGACAGGACTGTACAGAGTCCTGGGTCAAGAACCTCTGTAGCGGTATTCTTCAAACGATATACGACTTTAATTCCCGTCCTGTGCCCTTATTGGGTGTTCTGAAATTTAAGCAAATTACGTAGCTAACTGGACACTTTGATCTTGTTTTTTCCCCGCAAGGACCTTCCATTAATTACAACTTCTGCGACAGCTATTAAAAACATATGCTATGAAAAATAAACAAAATACTAAATACATGTGTGAAAGGTTATCCAATTTATAACAAAAGCATATATAATCAAGTATAATTGTAATTCCCCCTATGTTATAAAATGGTATCGTCTAGGTTCCGGAACTAATCACTTGTCAAGCTTTTGCACATTTATTTATTTGAAAAGAAAATAGCAATCCTAATTAGTTTTGTAAAAACAGAATGATAAAAGATAAATTCTTTTTATATCTATCAATATTATTGGTGTTAAGGTATTCTTGGTGAGATTTCTTTATTGTAAACACCCCCATTGAGGCAATAGACTCAACCTGTCACTTCCTTGTTGTACAAAAGTTTTATTTTGAAAAGTTAGTCCAGCATTTGACTTACGAGTAGTCTAATTTTCGTTTTGTTTGGACGAATGCAGGTTTTGCTTTATATTGGCGTTAAAACGTGCGGATTTAGAGTTCTGGGTTTTCGGCGGCCGTGTGAAAGTTGCTCGCCAGATTAGAATCTCCACCATAATTCAGTTTACGCAGAATGAGTTCCGTTTCAAAGGAAGACTTTAGGATTAAATGGCCATTGCATTTTTTGGTTTGGGAAAACGATTATAGACAACTAGAAAATGAGATAAAAACGGTACGTAAGTATGTCTCTTAAGGTTTACCTACAAGTGCATGCTTGATGTACTGGGTGAGCGGTGCCGCAAACTGCTGTTAATGGCTCTGTGCGTTTTAGTTGTCTTACGTCAACATTTTAGATCGGTTGCTAGCTAATTGCCCATTAAGCGGTATTTTACTGATTAACAGCACGATAAAATTATGATATCGGTGTTTGAGTTAGGTTCTACTTGCTCAGTTATTTTCTTGATTTAGCTTCACCTGAAGTGTTAGTGGTTGTAGCTACGACTTAAAACTGCGTTCGGGTGGCTGAAATAAAATATCGGATAGACTGAAATATTACATAAATTGATGAAAGCGTACAGTGGTTTTCTAAACTTGCACATTAAATGTTTGAACTAGATTATTACGACGCATTCTGTCCTGTGTGGTTTTCTGTTTCAATTTGCATGCAGTCACAGTTGCTTTTAGTCGTGTGTTTTTCAGTCGATTGTCCAATGCCTCAACGATAAGTGTTCCCCCCAAGAATCCAATCAGTTATTTCTGATAAAACTATGTATGCAGAATGGGCATTCGGTGAAACGGGGAGCTTTGACTCATTATTTTCTCTGGCTTTCTGACTTTTTCTGTTTCTTAGAACAACGTAGAAGTCGTTGATCCTCGGGGACGGACACCTGTCCACCTGGCCGTATCACTGGGACACTTGGAGTCGGTCAGAGTCCTCCTGAGACACGGCGCCCAAGTAACCAAAGAGAATGCCAAAGGATGGACAGGTGGGCAGACTCGTGCCAGTTTGTGGCAATAGTCAGTTGATCACTTGGTGGTTAAATTGATCTGACGAATTTCATACATTCATGTATGTACTCGAAGCTTTCTTAATAGCTTAGCAGCTTGGAACTGTTTTAACCCATAGGTGATGTGTAGATTTGCATCAATTCCAAGCATCATCACTATAAAATTAGTGCAATTAGAATCATGATCCTCGCTCCATGTTTAGCCTGAATATGCATATAATGTGCCTGCACATTGCAGAAGTCTTGTTGGAGCAGGATACACTATAACCTGAAGATTGCTGGTTCAAAATCCCTAATCCCAAATACCCTTTTTTTAAAAAAAAAATCATTTGATTAAAAGGATAACATAATGTCTGATACAAATATCAAGCATAGTAATGGTATTGACCAGGGTACAGTGAAGTCCAGTTCAAATATAATGTCTTCCCTTCTAAATCTGTACATTACTACCTCCATGACTATTTGCAAATCCTTCACCGATGCACCACCTATTTAATGCATTTTATTTCACTTCTTGTAAAATAAAAGCACTGTTATTTCACGTCTCGTCTTTTGTTGGACTGCTGTTTGTCCCGTTGTGCCCTTATGCACCGGGCCCCTCCCCTTCAATTGTGGCATGAGAATTTCCTCGGAACACATATGATGATAAAAACCTGAAACGACGACGACAGCAGCAATAAGTTAATGAAATGTCTGCCCTCCTGTTCTCAGTGCTGCAGGAGGCTGTCAGCACAGGAGACCCCGAGATGGTGGCGCTGGTTGTACAGAGGCGAGACTACCACAAAGCGTCAGCGGCCCTGGGGGGGGTTCCCGAGCTACTCGCCAAGATCCGTGAGGTGCTCTTCTCTCTCTTCCACTCTCTGACACTCTGTTGTGATTTAACCACAGCAGGCTGTTTTTCAGAAGCAATCATCAGTTGCATCACCCACCCCCCCTATTTCCGTGTCTCAGTCCCCAGACTTCTACATGGAGATGAAGTGGGAATTCACCAGCTGGAGTGAGTTTCTTGTTTCTTTGCTTCCATGATCTTCTTGGGTTTGTCCTCGTAAATTATTTATGGATTTATGTTATTGCTATGTGTCAAAAGCAATGAAAATACAATTTGTGTTCAATCCATATGTAATAATATCTCGTATGAAAATTCTGTGTACTCTTTTCTCCCCTCTTCGCTATTCGTCTCCTAGAAAGGGCTCGGCCCATGATTGGCTGATCTGTGTCATGTTCTGCCCCCCCCAGTCCCCCTGGTGTCACGGATGTGCCCCAGCGACGTGTGCCGAATCTGGAAAAGTGGCTCCAACCTGAGGGTCGATGCTACGCTGCTGGGCTTCGAGAACATGACCTGGATCAGAGGCAGGAGGAGCTACATCTTCAGGGGAGATGGTGAGTTGTTTGCTGGACATCCCCATGGGGTATCGAGTGGTTTACATGGCTGCGCTAATGTCTCCCTGCTAACACCATCTGGCTAAACTCGTACATCCTGGGATCTTCATCTCTGTTTGATTTGCCTGTAACGTCTCCAGCCACCTCCCAGCTGTCTTAATACCGGGATAAAGCACTTCAAAGAAAGTATCATTTGAGTGGACTTGTCATGAACATCTAAGCTTTAAGCATGTATGTGGGGAACAGGGTTATGGACCCTCCAACAGCTGCAGACATGTTTAAGGTTCTTCCAAACCTTCACATGTTGTATCATGGAAGTTGAGGATCAGCAGTTCAGTGTGGTTGCGCCTGTGTCCGATGCAGACAGTTGTACAGAGCTGATGGAGGTGAACCACGACGAGCAGGTAGTTGACACGGATCGCTTCGATATCTCCCGGGAGATGGAGGAGGTAACACTGGACTCCATGCAGCCTGCACAGCAGGATGTGGCCAAGCGGTTGACCACACCCATCGTCAACACCTTCCTGGACACACGGCACATTGCCTTCGAGAGGTACAGCTCAGGGAGCAGAAACTCAGCTTTTCTGATTTTCGGTAAAATTCTGAAATCTGGGACCAGTTTGCTGTGACATGGCCAAAACCGTGTAAAACAGTCAATGCACTTTGCGTTTTGCCTCCGTATTAATGACCAAAATCTAGGTCATAATCTGGCAAAAGGATGTATGGGCAAACTATGTCATTGCTCTACAATAAAAGTTGAGTGACTCTGCAGGGTAGGAGTCAATGTCTGGGTTTGGAAGGTCGCCAGTTTGAATCCTGTAGCTGGCAGAGCTGTCATGTCACTGTTGGGCCTGAAACTGCATGGCTGCCCCTGCATTCTGACCCCTTTTAACCTGTATATGTAAGCGTGTGTGTCTGTGTGTGTGTATGAGAGAGATACTATGTGTCTGTCCTGTCTGTTTTTATTGCGATTCCTTCTGTGCTCCCTTTGTTAACCGTTGCCCTGCATGGACTCCGCAGAAATAAGTCTGGAATCTGGGGCTGGAGGACAGATAAAACGGAGGTGGTCAATGGCTTTGATGCAAAGGTGAGAGATGGACTCGCGGAGGGCAGGATCCTTCATCCCCTTTGGGCAGGAAGCTCTCTGTTGTGAGCTCCCTCTGCCTTAGGCTTTAGTTTAGATTTTCTGAGTTTTGAATGCATTACTTTGCCTGCCTCAGTTCTGCTGGGAAAACACATTTACCATATCGCTTAAAGAGCCCTTGTCTTGTTTTATCATTTAAAAAGTTGGCTTAGTTTTATTTAAATGACTTAATTGAATTATAGTGTTAAAGTGTTTAATTAATCCCATGAGATTATTATGAAATTGTTAAGAATTGTACTAATATTTTATGGAGTATTGCTTGCAACATTTTGACCCATTCTAGAAGACACCTCCATGTTTCGAAGGTTAATTATTACAGAAGTAATTTAAGGAACATCTTGTGGTTTGCTGGGTTAGTTAAGCTCAGCTCTTAACCTAAATCCCATCTCACACGGAATTGGATCTTGTGGCAGGTCTTCACCGTGAACAACGTCAACGTGGTCATCCGAACCAGGACGGAGCACCTCACCGACGAGGAGAAGGCCCGAATAAAAGGTACCCAGCACATCTGCACCTTAAATACACTGAGCTCTGGCGTAGGCTGGAAATTAGCAGGCCCTGTTGAGTGAATCACTTTGGGGGGGACTTGCTGTGCCTGTGTTTCAATGCTTTGTCCACCTTTGTGTCTCAATTGGTATACGCCACCCCTAAATCTGTATTACACTTTAATAGGATATGTAGAGGTGTCAGTCAAAGACCTTATTAAATTAATATTAAAAACACTTAAACAGGTAAAAAGCATTTTGTGTCACTCTGCAAAAAGCCAAATTTGAAAGGAAGCACAAGGCTGTTTTATATGCCCTTCATAAAAATGTAACTTTTTTTTTTTTTTGTTGTTTCAATCAATTTGTCTTTGTAGAAAAGCCTTCCGTTCGTGTTTAATATTGTAAATATATTCTTATTCTCAGTGACATGTGACTTCTTTGGTTTCCAAACCTCCTTCCAGATGAACGGAATATTCTGGAATCTCTCCTGGGAACGGTAGAACAACACTTTAGCGCTCAAGGGGTAAGCAGCCAGCACGTTGAAAACATTTTGCTCAGGTAACATTTTAGAGTGTTCAAGAGAAATATAAAAAAAACCCCACTGTGAGTTCTTCACATCATTATTCATCCAATCACAGCTTCAGTGATTTTATTTTATTTTTTTCTTTCCATGGTTTGCTATTACTGATGGTGTCTCTATTGGGTCAGGCTTTGCTGGTAGAGGCTAGCATGGCAGCACGGTGGGTGGTGCTGTGGCCTCACATCCAGGTTGGATTCCTGCTGCTGGCTCTGTGTATGCGGAGCTCTCTCCATGTTTACTGGTTTCTTCCACATCCAGAAGCATGTGGTTTAGCTGAACTGGTGTCACTGGATTGCCCCTAGCATGTGTTGCACATACTGTTCAGGGTGTCCCCTGCCATGTCCTTCCTGGCTACCCTGTGATGGATAAAGGGGCTAAGTGAGATCACTGAGTGTTGGTTACACAAAGTTATGAGACTGTCTTTGATACTTGTTTTGTTCTTTTTCTCCTCTACTTGATGTTTTTATGTGATTAAAGGCCACCTTCCGCTGCATAATGATAAGCAATGTTTATCTAGATAATGATGACTAATCTGAGTTTGGCTGATTCTCCATTTGATTCATCCTGCTGACTGTGAGCAACTTGGATCTCAGCATTTATTTGTGGGATGTCCGCACTGGATGCCGAGCTCATTAAATGTTCCACTGAAGGTGATTTTTGGCCTTTGACCTTTGTGTTGGAAAAAGGACATGACCCTGGAGTATGCCACTGCCACAAACCCCACAGCCATCACGCCCGAGGAGTACTTTGACCCGGACTTCGACCTGCAGGACAGAGACATCGGCCGGCCCATTGAGCTCACCATCCGGACGCAAAAGTTGGTCCCGCCTGTGAAGGTCATAGGGACAACAGTCTTAGGTTACTGTGGATTAGTAGGAGGGCATCTGGGGCTGGGGGTTTAGTGGGGTTGGTGCCCCCTTCACTGTGGCCTCGTTCCTCCAGGTTCAAGGCCACCTTGTGGATGAGTGAGGAGCACCCGCTGTCCCTGGTGGAGCAGGTGACGCCCATCATCGACCTGATGGCTCGCACCAGCAGCCACTTCGCCAGGCTGCGTGACTTCATCACCCTCAAATTCCCCCCAGGCTTCCCAGTCAAGATAGGTATATCTGCGTATGAATTTACTCCAGGATGTTTAGCTGAAGCCTTTAATAAACAAGATACAGAACCATTTGTACTGGTGGATATTTTATGAAAGCGATTCACGGTCAGCAGTTCAGGATACATAGTCTCTATGGCACTCAATGGTCAAACAACAGTTCCGACTTGGTTCTCTCAAATATCTCTCCTTAAGCAGCACACCACCCGCTGACAGCTGCGCCTGTGCTGCTCTTACAGAGATCCCCCTCTTCCATGTTCTGAATGCCCGCATCACCTTTGGGAACGTGAACAGATGCAGCACCGAGGACAATTCAGAAACCACACCCACGACGGAGGTGGATGCCAGTGCAACGGGTAGGCCCATGTGGGAGCCTTGGTCACATGGTGCGGTAGCTTTGGTCACATGGTGCGGTAGCCTTGGTTTCATGCCGGTCTCTATTCCAGTTTTGAATACCCTTTCATGTGACCGTATTGGTTGGTGATGTGTAAAATGTCAAACCTTGATTTTTCTTCGATTACATGAAGTTCATACCCGGATTTTGTTTTACCCTCTCACCCCTCGATGCAGCCCCACCTCTCTTCCAGGTCTGCCCCAGTGTGTTTGAGGTACCCGCACATTACCGGCAGCGGGGAGGCACCCGGGCGGTGTCGTACTCTGACCATGAGGAGGAGCTGCTCCAGTTCGCCATCCACCAGAGCCTCCTCGAGGCGGGATGCGGCACAAGCCAGGTGCGGTCTCCTGTTACCAGGCCCCTGCCCCCTGCATGCTAGCTGCTGGACATATCACATGACTGAGCCCCTCCATATGGGAAACTGTTTGTCCAACTGCTCATTGCAAAATCTCAGCATTTCAGAATAAACCCAGTTAATTTTTAGTGTATCTTTATTCATAAGTAGTTTAAATGCACTACAGTCAGCCCTCCATATCCACAGGTTCCACATCTGCAGATTCAATCTGCTAAATAATGTGATGTGTAGTCTTGGGTATTGGTATATGTTAACACGGTGCATGCCTGAGCGAGAGTGAATTTATATTTTCTCTGTATTTTTCCATTCATATTATGATGGTTGTGTCCAGAGGTGGAAATTTCAGGTCCAGAAAGTAAAGATCCAGACCATTTTTTTTTCTTGTCATTTATTCTATAAACAATCCGATATAACAAAGATTTACATTGTATCCAGTATTATAAATAATCTAGGCATGATTTAAAGTATATAGGAGGATGTACGTAGCTTGTACACAAATACTACACTATTTTATATAAGGCACTTGAGCATCCATGGATTTTGTTACCCACAGGGGTCTTGACTGTATATGACCAAAATTAGATACCAAATTGCTCACATCTCATTCTGAATCTAAGGGAATTACTCTGATGTCAGTTGGCCAGTTGTTGCTATAATAGCCTCTCCTCTTCTGAGAAAGCTTTCCATGAGATGCTGGACCTTCTGGTGAGATTTGATGTTGGGTGATCAGGTCCCTTTCTGAGAGTTTGTGTGCCACTTTGCAGCTGAACTCAGTCCCAGACATGTTGACCTTTTAATCACTTCACTTGCAGTTATCCAGTGCAGCTCTATCAGGGCAACAATGAGGCGTTCTGACTTGTTGGAAAGATGATCTCATATGACGATGCCAAGTCACCTCTCCTGTACAACCACCAGTTCTTCTGCCGGTGTTTGTTGCAGGAGATTGTGTGACTGTGATACACCTGTGTCAGGGGTGTGGCTTAATTAAGCAATTACTCTAATTAACAGGGTCATGGCCATATAGTATAGTAAATAATTTTGAGTGGGAGTCATGAATTACTTCATGCTGGTCGGTGCTGTAGTTGGTGCTGAGTGTTTGAACTGTCTTATAGAAGTGTTCAGTGTTGTGTTTTAACTAGGAAATTCCACCTGTGCATTGCATGTTTTAATTTACCACAGCTGGCTTTGCAGTCAGTTGTATTAAAACCTCAATCAGTTATGGAATGTGCTCGCCGTGTGTGTTCTTGACAGAAATATTTCATTTGTTATGTCATTATTATTATTGTGATTTTGCTTTTCCAGGCATCTTGGGAGGATACCCCCGTAGTCCCGACGATCAAGAGCCAGGGGAATGGGTAGGCATCGCGGTGGTTGGATGCTTCCAATTCCTTTCAGTTCAGTTGTTGTATGTTGTGTGTTGACCCCCAACCTTGCTGTTCATGGGCATTGCTGCCTTTCCAGTTCCGTCCTGCATGGGCCGCTGGTCGACCTCGGGGACTCTACAAGCCCAGGCAGCACTGGCTCCACCAGCAGGCCGGACAGCGACCTGCAGCTTGCTATGGAGCTCTCAGCACAGGCCCAGGAGGAAGAGGAGCGACAGAGGAGAGAGGAAGAGGAGGAGCTGGAGCGAATACTGAAGCTCTCACTGACTGAGAAGTAGAGGAGGAGCCGCAGCAAGATTTAGTCTGCGTTTTAAATTTTTATTTGCCAATAGAAGTATAAAATGTCCAAAACCCAGATCTAGAGGAGTTGACCTGCTACAGATCAGCACCAAACTAACTGCAAGCAGAGAACTAACTAGTACTATCAACCATAAGCCCCCATCTGCTCATGACAGGCATTATTTATTATTATTGTTTACTATTCTAATATATATAAACCCACACAATTGTATCCTGTTGTAGGCATGCCATTAACAGGCCATGCCTGTGTCTCATGAATCAGTATTGCTTTTAGGGTATACATTTAAAAATGCCATTTGGATTCTGCAGCTTGGAAAACAAAGCATCGTCATTTAATTCCGATAATATGTTGCGATCCATACTATAGCAATGTGGTTAAGAGACTTCAGGGATTTTTTTAAGATCTCTCAGGGTTATGTCATAATCTTCCATTCTTCAAAAAAAATGTGTATCAAGGTAGGAAACTTCCAGATGGACATCAAAATGTGGCTCAGAAGATTCTGAGCCCTTCAATTCAAGACGAGCAATACTCACGCCAGCGTGCCTGTTTACGGGGCGCAGTGTCACCCCTGCCGGGGCTCGGCACTCCAAACCGTTCCCTCATAGTTTTATATGTCGATTTACATGGACGTTCACTGTTAAACACTGACCGTATGCTGGCGCACCAGTAATCCTTTACCAGTAAGAGGAGTAGTCTGAGAATTTTCTTTTTGTTTCTGTAGGTAGGGGGACATGTGACCTCTGGGGTTTAAATTGGACCCTGCTGAATGTAGCATTTTCCACAAACAGAGCGATGTCTTCCCACGCTTTGATTCCGACAGCATGCTGTGCATTTGAGGCCAAAGTGATGATGTATGGCAGGGAGTTGATGATGATTTAAGAGTTTAAAAATTTATTGTTTTGAAGCCTACTTCTTGATACAAATAAACCAGGATAGTTAAACACACTGACAGCCAACAGTATGTAGTAATGTTTTTTATTTTGATGCAGTACTAATGAACTTCAGGATCTCAACTGAATTTCAGTATCACAATGCCAAAAATGAGACCACTTTTTTTTTTATGCGGTGTATTAACTATAGAGCTCACGTTTTGACATATTACATTAAACAATTCAGTTTATAAATGTTTCTTTTTTAAAATAAAAGCACTTTATCACCAGTACCGTTTTCTGAGACCTCCTGATGTATGGCCCTGGTTGTACTAGGAGTTCCTAGCTCACTGATCATTATAGGTAATCTGTAATATACAACTTTCGCTGTCTTAGTATGGCAGGGCAAATCAATAGAGAAATACGCAGCCTCACACAGGGATGCGGTGCCTTTTGAATTGGTGGGTGCTATCCCTGTCAAAGTATGCTGCGTTTCTACCGCTCTGTTATGTTTAAGTGGGATGTTACTTAAATTTTGATATTGACATATTGTTTGTCTCAGCTAAATCTTAAGCACCCACTAATTCAAATTAAAGGTTAAGTTCAACTATGTTAATTTGTACTGTTTTAAAATAAATTAAATGTGATGTAAATTATTCTTTATTAGTGCTTTTATTCACATTTTATTAATATGTGCTATATTCAATTGCGCATATCAATTATTTGTCAAACAAAACTTTTATTTGCTGACAAAACTTTGATCATTCAGAGATGTGATTATGATTTTTTTTTTTTTTTTGTAATAAGAATTTACTTGGAAATGCAAACCACTGTACACGCAGCTGATGTGATCTTTAAAACAGAAAAGCATTATAAAAAGGCTACGTTGTAAATGTGCTTTTTTTAACGACACTGAAATGCATAGGGCAGTTTTGCAGCACTCCTGCTGTTTAATCAGAAGGTGGCAGTGTTTGTTTCTGGCGAATTTCGTCCTGACATGGTAACATCCTTATGGTTGGTTGTGCTATTTGTGTTTTTGTCCAGGGTCTCTGATATGATATAAGTGGGCGCGTTAGTTTGCATTCGGCTTTACTTGCTAAGTTTGGCTACCGCCTCTGTTCATTCATCTTGTTTCAACAGCTGCTCCGACTAATGAGACGTTCTGAACAGTTTACCTTAATGTAATTTATGCCATAAGAATGTTGTTCTGGTCGCGTTCATGGTCATCTTCATGTTGTGTAGGAGGATTTTTGTTTTTGTAAATAGGATACTGAATTTAATTCCCCTAGATTACTCCTCCACACATCTTAAAAGCACCACACAGCGATTATTCATTGTCAGAATTTCGGACAAAAATGTTTAGAGATTGCAACAGAGGTTATGCAATATATGATGAAACAACATCATTCAAAAAAATGCTTCGGTTATTTGTTAAATACCAATGTCAGGATTAATGGAAATTCGTGTTTTTATTATACAGCACAATTAAAATATTATTAACATTTTCCGTCGCACTTTTGCAATGCTGGGATTTAATCGGAATTAATGCTTGTATCGGTAGCATGACCGTACATATCACTGAGGACATTGAGGTCAGGTCCTCAGTATTTACACTGCAAACTACAATAGCAATGATCCATTACAGGGCGCACCTATAGGAAGGGCTAACATTTGACCTCGGTATTTTAAAAATCCAGCCTACGGCCCTTATCGGCAGCTTTAGTTGAGAATTACTGATATTTCTGGGAGATTTTTACGTATTTATGTGGGTATAATTAAAATTCAAAGCCTTACTTTTTCATTCGCCTTTTTAACTAGAGACATTTTTTTTAAGTTAACATTGACCATGCTCTTTCCTTATGATAGTTTGAATGAAAGTTGTGCTTTTTGGACAGAGATCAATATGAACGGTATGCAGTGTAGAGTAGAATGTAATTACTCCAGCAATGACCTTCAATAACCCGAAAGGATCTGGCGTTGGGGGCAAAGTGATTGAGGAGAGACTTCAAAACATAATTATATATAAATCATATACATATATCAAATCAGTAAAATGAGAAAAACAACAAAACACAGCACGCGCGTTTGTCTTCCTCTTATGACCGGTCATCATAATCGGTAACCAACAAGAAATGTTGGCTTATAGAAAGTAAATCCACAATGTTATTTAAGCAAACAAAATAAGCCTACGTAAATATCCCAACTCCGAACTCCTTGACAGACAAAAAATTCTTTACGCAAGAGCACAGAACAGCCATAATTGTAATGAGGGCTGAATTACACTGGAGAACGAGCACTGACTGAAACGGCATTATGCATGTGAATAGCGCGCACTCGCTACATTGTTGAGATAACATCCTTTGTTTGTGTAAGTGCTGATTTAGGTAATATAACCCTCTAGGGCCATGTCTTCCATGATTATGGTGATACTTAATATGTTTCTCCAGCTGAGTTTGTCACTTTCATTGAGTCGAAAGACAGTACTTCGTTGGATTTTAAGGAGCTTCCTGGGTGGAGTAATCCTTTTGAGTTTTTTTTTTCTCATGATTGCTACATTTCTTGTGAAAAAAAGAAACATTTATTACTAGTATAACAATCAACTTATTTTATCGTGTCTTTAGGTCTACTTGGGATTCAAATCACCAACCTTCATGTTACTGCCTAACTATATTATGCTGCAGAGTATCTGTCAACGTACGTGTTCTCGTTTTGCCCTCATTGGCATGAACTCAGGTGTATCAATTGCAGGGGATGTCCTCAGTGCCATGAAATATGCCCGTTCTTCACCCGTTAAAAAAGAAAAATCTTAAACAGATTATCGTTTTTCTAAATGATATATAAATAATGCATGAAGGCCCTTTTACAATAAATAAATATACAATTCCAGCAAAAATTATTTCGTACTGGTTTCCCGCTTCACTGTGGGTTATGTGCATGGGTGTCGTTCGGTCCGATCACTCGGGGCTATATTCCCGAGTATTTTAAGCTTAGCCCCTTGTATTTTACCCCCAATGCCAGTCTTCCTTCGAAAAGGAAAAAAGTCAAGCCCTAGGTGAACTTTACTTAGCCCCTGATGTTTGCAATAGCTAGAAACTCCACTGGTTATATGTCACATTAAGCGGGCCTATATTTCTGCTAACCAAAATGGACACATGCAACTTATTTTATTAACGTTACGGAGGGTTCTGAAAGCAAAAAATGATATTCGTGGTATTCGAAATAGCCAAATGTCTAAACGAAGACCCATTTAGTAGGCTTTCTCGCTAGAGTGTACAGGAGGTGAGGAGACAGAGCACTCCGCTTCCATAGCTCTATCAGACATGGTTTTTAATCTTGCCCCTTCGTGCAGTAGTTTGCATTCCTAGGGTATATATTACGAAGGATTGTCAAGCTGTCAACAAGGTAAATGACGTCGTATAACCTACAACAGTGATCACCAACCCTGCTCCTGAAAATCTTTCACTCTGCAGAGTTTAGGTGCAGCCCTAATTTAACACAGCTGACACAGATAAGTACT